TATGGCCGGGACGGTCAGTTAGCTGGATATCGGAGCATCCGTATTGTCAAACACCAAAGGTGCTTTGGACAGGGTCCCAAGCGTGGCTCGAGAGCTGAACGTGGAGTGACACATAACCGCTGAGCGCTGAGCAGTCGCTGCAAGCCAAGAGTGGCATGGTCGACCAAGGGCCGAGGTATTAAGGGCGAGGCCCTTGTGATGCATGTGAAGTGGCACGTAACCCGCTGATCACTGCTCATGTTACGGAGCAGTTGTTGCATGCCAAGAGTGGCATGGTCGGACGAGGTCCGAGGCATTAAGGGCGATGCTGTTGTGATGCGCGTGGAGGAGCACGTAGCCCACTGATCACTGCTCATGTTTCGAAGTGGTTACTGCATGCCAGGTATTCCCACTGGTCTCGATGAGACGAAAAACCTCTATAGAGAGGAGACGACAAAGCCGTATGTTATCCACGAGACATAGACGATAGCGCACAACCATATAGTTCAGCGTATACGCTAGGCCTTGCTTGGACACAACCTCAAAAGGGTCAATAAATCGTGGACGCAGCTTCGTCTGAAAGACAGCAGGAACTGCATGTTTAGAAAGGTTTTTAGCACTTAGTAAAACCAGGTCTCCGGCGGTGTCAGCGAGACGCAAGGATTAACAAGCCCGTTCGCGTAGAACGGCGTATAGCCGGTAGATGCATGCACTGCATTGTTCAGAGCGAACTTCACAAGTGGCAATATGCCGCTCTAGCGCTTTGGCCTTTCGGCGCAGACGCTGTGAAGAACGTCTTGAACGACGCGTTTAACGCGCTCAGTTTGACCATCGGTATGTGGGTGGTCCGCTATTGACATAGTAAACTTGGTGCCCAGCACCTTAATGAACGTCGACCAAAACTTCCCAGTGAAGCGTAAGTCTCTGTAAGAGACAATTGACTCCGGGAGTCCATGTTGTTCAATGACAAGATCCACAAACCGCGTCGCTGTACCGACACCGTCAGTTGTGTCTGGCACTGCCGCAAGTTGTGCTATCTTGCTCAAACGGTCCACAAAGACCACCACACCCGTGTTGCCCGCAGAGACAATTGACAGGCCAGATACAAACTGTATACTCATGGACTGTCAACACCCGGAAGATAACAGGTAAACTGGCCAGCGGCGCAGCCGCATTTGAAGAGGGTTACACCCTTTGACATGTCTCACACGTGCACACATATGTGCTCATCCATTTATACAGCTTGAGCCACCAGTAGTGGCAACTCACAGAGCTGTACGTCTTCTCACGACCGAGATGACCACTGAGTGCTGTGTCGTGGGCCTCATAGAGCTTACGGTATTTCATCCTTCATCGTTAGAAACCACCATTCATGACGTATCCGTCGAATCGGTGCTATAATACAGCAACCCGTTATTTAACGAATATCAGCGTAACCGTGCGCGCAATCGCGCCGACAATTTCTTGTCCGAGTTTCAAACACCTTGCTCCCGAGAGCCTGTAGCAGCGCTACACACAGACCATCACCCGCGTATGCGGCGCGGATCAAATCCGTGCTTTCCTGGCTTATATCTTACCTCGAAGTTATATTCTACGAAGAAGGAGAGCCGCCTAGCCATCCTCTGCAAAAGGTGAAGCGACTGAGTCACAGTGCGTAATGACGCATGATCTGTGTCGATCACAATCGACTTTGGGCAAAGCAGATGCACCCTGAAGTTGACAATTGCATACTTCATCGCATGTAATTCCTTGTCGTGGACTAGGTAGTTCTTATCCGCAGCCTTCATCTGGCAAGATTCGAACGCGATCACCCGATCTCGCCCCTCCGCATCTGCTTGCAGCAGTGCACAGCCGATGGCAAAGTCCGAAGCGTTACAGACGACACTAAAAAGACGATCGGTGTCTGGCAACGCCAGTATTGGTGCATGAAGGAGGCTATCTTTTACCTTGTCAAAAGCCGCCCAATGCTAGGTGCTCCAACACCGTTCCATATCCTTTTTATATAGATTCGACAATAAATATGCCATTTGCGCTATACTTGTGCAAGTAGTTGGCGAGGCCAAGCCACTTGCGCAAGTCCTTTTGATCCTTGGAAATGGTTAGTTTAAAATGGCCTTGACCTATAGCGGGATCCGCTCGAAGGCCACGCTTCTGTGACAAAGATGCACTTATCGACATTAGCATATAGCTTATACGTGCACATGCACTCGAGCACCGCTTTCAATGGACGATGTGATTTTCCTCATCTGTCCTCCCGTGCCCCGCACGACTGCGGACGAAAATGTCGTCAAAGTATGTTTGTGCATACTCCCGGTGGGGCCTAAACAATTGCATCTCGAGACGATTAAATGTTGCTGGTGCATTTGACAGCCCTTGGGCATCACCAGCAGCATCCCGCTCGGAGTACTCACCGCTGTGAACGGAATATCACTCGCTCTCATGTGCAATTGGTAATAACCGTCGATGCGCTATACTTTGTTCAGCCAACCCTATTGTTCTGGAGAACACCCTTTCTAGGAATTGCGGTCTGTGCCGAAATGGTGGCAGCGTTTAGCTTATGATAAGCGTGAACGATACGTCACTTGCCGTTCGGCTTCCGGACACAAGACATGGGTGTCGAATGGGGAGACTTGCTCTCACGCACCATTTCTGCGTCGTGCTTCGCACGGAAAAGGCGTCACTGACGTCACACTGCTCTTTGGGCGGGGGGCACTGGCGTGTTTCGTAGTATTTGGTTCCCGAAAGCAGATCAATATCATGACGCACACCTCGTTCCGGAGGTAGGACTGACGGAGGGGTAGGAGACGACGTCTGAAAATTCCTTTACTAACGGATGATACAAATCCGAGGGATTTTCAGGATTGATGATCCTCTTCGTGCGTTCAGTTCACTCTCAGTGTAGCTTCATCCAGAAGCGACGAGGGATTTATCTCCTCGTTCGGTCGTATACTGACCTCCTCAGCTGAATTGTCTGCCTTCAAGACACCATCAAACTCTCTGAAGGACATCTCGTCCATCTCAAGAAGAGTATCTCCGCGGGAATAGCCTCGAGGGTGACGGTGCCGTCTTCCTCCCCCGTCATACCGTTGACAAGGGAGTGTCGAGACATTTCTCGCCGATGGGAAAGTACACGGAGCTCAGAGATAATGATAGGATCAAACGCATATGTAAAATGCAGAGACGCCGAAACACTACTAACTGATTTTCCCGATTAGAGTCCGGTCTTCTATTTATTAGTACCGGACTCAAGCCCAAAAAATCCGGATTTTTACCAGAAAAACAAAAAAATTTTAGTGACAATGTGAAAATAGTGATTTTGGTTTTCGACGTACGTCACAAACTCAAAGTAAATAGAAAACATTAACATTCTTAACAATTCTAGATAAGATACCTCCGACACGGGGTCGCTACCGCGTGTTTGGGTCCATGATGGATCGTAGGTGTTGTGCGTGGGAATTTATTCCTCGAGGACATGCTGAGGGGTGAATCAAAATTGGGCTGAAGTGAGGCAGTTCTTTTATATGTTCTTAGGGACTGCTTCCTATTCATCAATCACGACTCCAATTTCATCAAGAGCCTCGTCCAGAACGTCAAGGTTGAAAACTCCGCATCCACACTGCTGTCACCGTCCGTCTTGTAGCTTTCTCGAAACAACGTACCATACACGGCATGTCGAGCAACAAACCAGTCTTGGTAGTTGTCTGCAATACCAGCACCAATGATGGAGTTAACGACAGGCCCTCCATCGGTCTGTGCCCATGCCTTGAAAATCCACGCAAGAATGACAGTGATGCGCATGGATGCAAACCCTGTTGAGCGAACAATCACGTGACGAGCACCAACAGCGTCAACTATCTGGTTGCGTCCGTCTTCAAATTACACGGCCGTTTCACCCATTAGCACTGTCTGGTCGAGATCCATACGTGGTTGTTGCTCTTGCAGGAACCGCATGTAGCTGACCGCTCGTTCGATGACAACTTCATCGGT